TTTGGTGACTATTCTTAAGCCCTTAGAATGTGTTCCATGGGAGGAAAGAAGTACTTGACCATCATACAATAGCATTCTCGATGTCGTAACACTGCAATTTCTTTTGAAATTAAATGCGATGTCCATAAAGTGTGACACGTTATGGCCATTGATATCAAGAATTTCCCCTCTTGAAGCGTTTTTTCCTGCAAATGCTAAACACCAATGTGTACTTTTCCTTTCTTGCACCGAAATCTCAGGAGTAGATCGATATATCAAAGCTTTCCGAAACGTTTTATATATCTGAATCACCGCAAAGTGCCCATTGTATCCTCGGCAGGTCAAGAGCGAAGCATCTACGACCGTGGTTCCAGTGCGTAGCTCGAATCACGACGCTGTCATTGAGCAATTCAAAAGTTTGCATCAGCGAGAGGTGAGAGAACTCAGAAATTTGTTTTGATGTTGCACTGCTTTGTGCTAAGCTCCAGCGAACAATCCGGGAAGCTCCTGACTTGTCATCAGAATATCACTAACCTATTGATCGCATCACTGTCGTCGATCTGAACTAGTGACATATGAGCTTATCTAATGATCGTAAAATCGACGCTTTAGTTACTTGAGTAGAGGCACGTTCTTGCTTTACCCCGTGACTTGAGCTGTTTTCCGTTGAGCTTCAGTAATAATGCACTTTTGGGATAATTAGGCAAATCCTTTGCAAAAGAGCCTTGATTCATGAAGAGACAGGTCGACGTGTGATAGTCCCTTATCTCCGGTGACATTTGCACAGCACAAATCAGTGTTCCATCGCAGCACATAATCCTTTTCGTTGGGAGCTCGACAGACACATTTTCATTGGAATTTAATGTGATAGCAATTTTGCAGTCAATTTCTTCATCTGTGGACGAGTTCAGCCATTTCGAATACGTCGAAGACGAATCGACTGTTGGACGTGGGGTAACGTCCGTTAAAGTCAATCGATTCGGCTTCGACTCCGATACCGCTCTCTCTGAGGTCTGTGGTTTCAACGTGCGATTCTGAAGACACCAATCGACTGCTTAGCACGCATTAATTTTTGTTAGCGTAGCTTTGTGGCGCTTTTCCAAAACGTGGCGAAAGAGAAAGCAAAACAAAAGCTCTCCGCTTTTAATCATCATATTTTAGGACAATCAAGCAACGCTGGAGGGGCTCGAGGTTTTAGTGTACCAAGAGTTCGAGCGTGAACCGCTCGGAGCAGCGGGCGCTGTTCAAGTCGAACCCCGCGAGGAGCACTACAAGGACGCCGAGGTCTCTTTGCATGCTGAGGTCCTGCCATCCATTTACTGTCGATTTTTTGTCTTTATATCGTATCGTTCCACTTTATGCCAACTACGCTATGAAATAAGCGTTTTCAACGTAAAACACTTAGTAAATAGAAGGTAC